GGGACACCCACAGGGCACCAGGGACACCCACAGGGAGACCCACAGGGACAGACAGGAGCACCCACAGGGACAGGGAGGGGCACCCAATGATACCCAGGGGCACCAACAGGTATCCAGGGGCACCCAGGAACACCCACAGGGACAGACAGGGGCACCCAGGGACAGACAGGGGCACCCACAGGGACATCCAGTGACATCCAGGGGCACTCATAGGGACAGAGAGGAGCACCCAATGACACCCAAGGACACCAACAGGGCACCAGGGACAGACAGGGGCACCCAGGAACTCCAACCAAGACCCCCACAGGGACACCCACAGGGGTCTCAGGATCCCAGGGAGGTTCTGAGGATCCCAGCAAGGTTCTGGGGGTCCGGGGGGGGGTCTGGGAGGGTCCCAGGGAGGTTCTGGGGGTCCCAGAGAGGGGTCTGGGGGTCTCAGGATCCCGGGGAGGTTCTGGGGGTCTCAGGGGGATCCAGGAGGGTCCCAGGGAAGTTCTGGGGGTTGCGGGGGGGTCTGGGGGTCACAGGGAGGGGGGTCTGGGAGGGTCACAGAGGGGTCTGGGGGTCTCAGGATCCCAGGGAGGTTCTGGGGATCCTCAGAGGGTTGCAGGAGGGTCTGGGGGTCTCACCTGGCGCAGGGGGGGGGTCCTCAGGTGGAAGCTGAGGCGGAGGCTGAGCCGCTGCTGCCGCTCGAGCCCCCCCGTGGGGCAGCTCAGCCGGAAACACTCGGCCTCGGGGCACCCCTGGGACACCCCCGAGACCCCCCCCCGTGCCACCCAGGGTGGGGACACAGACACAGGTGTCACCCCCAGCAGTGTCACCCCCTCCTCGTGTCACCCCCAGCATTGGGGTAACCCCTCCCTGTGTCACCCAGGGCAGGGACACCAGCCCCAGGTGTCACCTCCAGGGCAGTGTCACCCCCTCCCCGTGTCACCCAGGGCAATGTCACCCCCTCCCCGTGTCACCCCTCCCAGTGTCACCCAGGGTGGGGACACTGGACCCAGGTGTCACCCCCAGCAGTGTCACCCTCTCTCTGTGTCACCCAGGGTGGGGACACCAGGCTCAGGTGTCACCCCCAGTGGTGTCACCCCTGGCAGTGTCACCCCCTCCCCATGTCACCCAGAGTGGGGTCACTGTCCCCAAGTGTCCCCCCCCTCCCCGTGTCCCCCCCAGCAGTGTCACCCCCCCCGCCGTGCCCCCCCTGTGTCCCCCGCCCTGGGGACCCCCCAGGGGACAGGGTGACACTCACCAGGGTGTCCCCCCCTGTGTCCCCCCCTGTCCCCCGCCCTGGGGACAGCCCAGGGGCCAAGGTGACACTCACCAGGGTGTCCCCCCCTGTGTCCCTCCTGTCCCTCCTGTCCCCGCTGTCCCGGCGCTGCAGGACGTGGCTCTCGGGGCTCTGCTCCTGGGGGGGCACGGGGGGGGGTCAGCTCTGGGGACAGTCCTGTCCCCTGCCACCCCTGCCACCCCCAGTGCCACCCCTGCCATCCCAAATGCCACCCCCTGCCACCCCCAGTGCCACCCAAGGTCCCCAGTGCCACCCAGTGCAGTCCCAGTCCTCCATCACCCAGTGCCCCCAGTGCCACCCAATGCCCCCAGCACCCTCCAGTGCCCCATGTCCCAGTGCCCCCAGTGCCCCCAGCACCCTCCAGTGCCCCCAGTGCCCCATTTCCCAGTGCCCCATTGCCCAGTGCCCCATGTCCCAGTGCCTCCAGTGCCCCATGTCCCAGTGCCACCCGATATCCCCAGTGCCCTGTGTCCCAGTGCCTCATTTCCCAGTGCCCCATTTCCCAGTGCCCCCAGCACCCTCCAGTGCCCCCAGTGCCCCATTTCCCAGTGCCCCCAGCACCCTCCAGTGCCCCCAGTGCCCCATTTCCCAGTGCCCCCAGCACCCTCCAGTGCCCCCAGTGCCCCATTTCCCAGTGCCCCCATTTCCCAGTGTCCCCAGTGCCCCATTTCCCAGTGCCCCCAGTGCCCCGTGTCCCAGTGCCACCCGATGTCCTCTGCATCCCCCATGTCCCAGTGCCCCCATTTCCCAGTGCCCCCCATTTCCCAGTGCCGCCGGTACCCCCAGTGCCCCCAGAGCCCCATTTCCCAGTGTTCCCAGTGCCCACCGTGCCCCTCGTGTCCCCAGTGCCCTCAGTGCCCCCAGTGCCCCATTTCCCAAAGTCCCATGTCCCAGTACCCCCAGCACCCTCCAGTGCCCCCAGTACCCCATGTCCCAGTGCCACCCGATGTCCCCTGCGTCCCCCATGTCCCAGTGCCCCATTTCCCAGTGCCCCCAGTACCCCCAGTGCCCCATTTCCCAGTGCCCCCCGTGCCCACCGCCAGGCGCAGGGGGTCCATGGGGTGGCTGGAGGAGCAGTTGGGGGGTCCCGAGTGGTTGGTGACGTAGAGCAGGGGGTGCCCGCGGTGCCCCAGGGGGCAGCTGAGCTCCAGGGTGCCCTCGGCGATGGCACCGGGACCCTCGTTCACCACCTGGGGACACGGGAGGGGGGGGGACACATCCCACAGGGGGTCAGGGACATGGGGACACCCCCCGGGGGGTCAGGGACATGGGCACAGGGACACGGGCACATCCCCCAGGGGGGTCAGGGGCACCCCGGCATGGGGACACCCCCCAAGGGGTCAGGGACATGGGGACATGGGGACACGGGGACACAGGGACACCCCCAGGGACACGGGGGACACAGGGACATGGGGACACCCCCCAAGGGGTCAGGAACATGGGGACACCCCAGCAGGGGGTCAGGGACACAGGGGGGACACCCCAGAGCGGTCAGGGACACAGAGACACCTCCCAGGGGGGTCAGGGACACGGGGGCACAGGGACACGGGCACATCCCCCAGGGGGGTCAGGGACAGCCCCACATGGGGACACCCCCCAGGGGGGTCAGGGACACAGGCATGGGGACACCCTGGGGGACAAGGGGATCCCTTAATTTAGGGGACTTGGGGACCCCTGGGGTGGGGGACATGGGGAAATTTGGGGTCAGAGACATGGGGACCCCCAGGCTGGGGGGACATCGGGGACTTTGGGATCAGGGACATGGGAATCTTTGATTTAGGGGGCACAGGGACCCCCAGGGTGGGGGACATGAGGGACTTTGGGGTCAGAGCCATGGGGACCCCCAGGACTGGGGACATGGGGAGCCCCTGGGTCAGGGACATGGGGACCCCCCGGATTGAGGACATGGGTGACTTTGGGGTCAGAGACATGGGGACCCCCAGGCTTAGGGGACATCGGGAATTTTGGGATCAGGGACATGGGAACCTTTGATTTAGGGGACTTGGGGACCCCCAGGATTAGGGACATGGGGGACTTTGGGGTCAGGAACATGGGGACCCCCAAGATTAGGGCCAGGGGGCCCCCCTGGGTGCCCCCCCCACCTCATAGACGTGCTCCACGGGGGGTCCCAGGTCCTGCAGCCGCTGGGGGGGGGTCGGGGCCCCACCCCCCCTCGGGGATGGTGACGACGTCGGGCCGGGACACCCTGGGGGGACATTTTGGGGGGAGGAGGGGGGTCAGTGGGGTTCAGCACCCCGGGGGTGCCCCCAGTGCCCCCTTCCCCCCATGCCCCCCCCCTCACTCACCCAAAGGTGGGGAGGGGCTGACAGGGCTCAGAACCCTCCTGTGCCCCCCCCCGTGTCCCCCCCCCATGTCACCCCAACACAGACACCCTGGTGGGCTCTGACAGGACTCAGGACCCCCCGTGTCCCCCCGTGTCCCCCCCCGTGTCCCCCC